CCCAGCTACTCAGGAGGCTGAGGCAGGAGAATTGCATGAACCCTGGAGCCGAAACCACGCCACTGCACTCCAGCCTGGCGGCAGCACAGTGAGACTCCGTCTCAAAGAAACAAAAATTAAAAAAAAAATAAATGAATAAAAAAACACAACTGAAGAAACAGAAGAGGACTCCACAGGACTGCTTTCAGATCTTCATAGCAGCATGAATTCAACAATCAGGAATTCAAATACTAGACGATAAAACAGCAGGATGAGAGGAAGATTTAAGAGCCCAGGAAACTGAAAGCACCGAAATCTCACTGTGGCTGGACTGAGTCAAAAACAGCAATGGGCAGAATATCAAGTTACTCAGAGAGGAAAGGCTTGAGATAATTTCAGAGCAAGACAAAGTGATTAACACAATAATTTACTCATGTATTATTTGTTAAACACCTACTTCAAGCTACAGGCCACTCTAGGCCTTGGAGGGTAAGGAAACAGCGCCTTTACCCTCAGAGGGCTTGCAATCTAGCAGGGAGGGGAACATAATAAAGTATATAAAACCAGGGCTCTGGCTCTGAAATACCAACACTTTGGGCAGGTCACTTGAACCCAGGAGTTCGTGACCATCCTGGGCAACATGGTGAAAACCCATCTCTACTAAAAAATATAAAAATTAGCCGGGCGTGGTGGCGCACGCCTGCTACTTTAGAGGCTGAGGCGGGAGGATAGCTTAGGCCTGAGATGCAGAGTTCACAGTGAGCCGAGACGGCACCTCTGCACTCCAGCCTGGGTGGGAGAGCAAGACCCTGTCTAAAAACAACAATAACAACAACAACAACAAAAACTGATCTTAAGTCCAACCAGTAAAGATGTAAATCAAAACAAAGACTTTCAGTGGGTCAAATACTGGTAGTGAGCTTTGATCTTCCGGTAAGAAATACCCTGCCAGGGGATACAGAAATGACAGTGCCAGTTTTTCACCATTCACAGGCAGAAGTCAGCCTGTGCCACCTCAGCCGAACCGTGCTGTGCTGCTGAAAACCAAACACACCCATCTCCTGATGTTTTTGTAATTTCTAAAAATAATCGTAGAAGACTTTTTTTTTTGGAGACAGGGTCTCACTCTGTCACCCAGGCTCAAATGCAGTGGGGCTATCTTGGCCCACTGCAGCCTCAAGTTCCTGGACTCAAGCGATCCTCCCACCTCAGCCTCCCAAGTAGCTGGGACTACAGGCGGGCACCACCACGCCCAGCTAATTTTTGTATCTTCAATATGGGTGGAGCTTCGCCATATTGCCCAGGCTGTTCTCCAACTCCTGAGCTCAAGCGATCTGCCCGCCTTGGCTTCCCAAAGTGCTGGGATTACAGGCCTGAGCCACAGCGCCCGACCATCCTAAGGAGACTTTTAAACTTGAGGTGAAGAAGCATTCATCTGCTTTTAGCAATTTTTTTCTTTAAATATTTAAAAGTGTATAAGTAGCAGCTCGACACGTATTTCTGTATTTCCATTACATCCTTTTATCTCCCCATATACATTTAGAAATATCTGGGATAACCTTCAGGTAATGTTAACAGCTGTTATTCCAGGGAGGACACTGTGGGTGCGTTTTTAAAGCTGTATTCGTTGCTGTATTAATAGTAAGCGGTGTTTCTGCAAAGCCAAGGAAGGTGTTTCTCCAGCGGGGCAGCGCCGGGCATTGTCTGGTGCGCAGAGGCAGGCCGCGAACTACATCTCCCAGGCGCCCCGCGCCCCCGCCCGCGCGGCTGCTGCTGTGGTGCCGGAGCGGCCTCCGCTCGGTCCGGAGCCAGCCAGAATCACAATTCGAATCAGGCGTGGGAAGCCCGGGGGACCACGCGGCCAACCCTGGGCGGACCTGCGAGCCGGAGACCGCGTCCCCGGGAGCCCCCAAACGCTACCCCGCGCGGCCGCCCGTGGCGCTGCGGAGGCCTGCGGGTGGGGAGGCGCAGTGGCGACCGGGGCGACGGCCTAAGCACCTCACTGCTGCTGCGATACTTCGGGAGATCCTCACGCCCCTCCCAGGATCCTTCCCACTCCCGAGACTGCTTCTTCCGTCCCCTTGATTCCACGCGCCTCGGAGACCCGCCCTCTGCCGTCCCGAGACGAGCGTGCCCCTCTCCTTGCAAGGTGGGCTTCACATGCGCTCCCGCCCCACGAACCCTCCTCTGCCCCAGGGTTTCCTGCCGGGCCCTCGTGGTTTGGGGCTGCCCGTGCACTTCGGGATCCTGAGCAGCACAGCACCCCCGCCTCTACCCACCAGGTGCCGGCAGCCCCTGTGGAAGGCAGAATGCCGCTCCCACAGATACTTGTGCACAAATCCCCAGAACCTTGGGGCAGGCTGGGTTAAGTGGGTTAAGTGGCAGGTTAGGAAGGGCGCTAACCAGTTCACCCGAAAGCAAGCAGGCGACCCTGGATCTTCCGGGTGGGCCCAGCGTCGCCACAAGGGTGTTTCAGGGTGCAGGAGGGAGGCAGAGGAGAGGTGGGCAGAGAAGGGCAGGGCAGAGAGGGGCACTGCCGCTCCAAAGGAGACCAGAACTACCAGTCAAGGAATGTGGGCAGCTTCTTGAGGCTGGAAAAATCAGGGAAACAGAGTCTCCCCTGGCGCCTCCAGAAGGAACAGAACTCTGCCAACCCCTCATTCTGAGCCCAAAGATACCCATTTTGAACTTCTATAAAACTTAGCTAATAAATTAGTGTTGTTTTAAAACACTCAAAGCCAGGCACCAGTGGAACACTCCTATAGCCCCAGCTACTCAGGAGACTGAGGCAAGATGATTGCTTGGGTCGAGGAGTTCAAGACCAGCCTGGGCAACATACCATGCATGACTGTTTCTCTACAAAAACTTAAAAAAAAAAAAAAAGCCGGGTGTGGTTGGATGCGCCTGCAGTCCCAGCTACCCAGGAGGCCAAGGTGGGGGGATCACTTGAATCCAATAGTTCAAGACCAGCCTGGGCAGCATAGAAGCCTGCCCCCCCGCCCCCACCAACACCAAAAAAAAAGAAAAACCAAAACCTACTGAATTTGTGGCAATTTTTATGGCAGCTACAGAATACTAGTACACAAATCCCAGTTGTGACAACCCAGGAAGTCTCCAGGCACTGCCTCTGTCCTGGCACCACCTCTGTTGGAGAGGCCTGTGCGTCTCAGTGCCAATACCCTGCTGCCGGCTGGCCCTGTGGCCACCTTACCCACCAGAAGGTCGGCTCTGGGCCTCAGCCTGAAGGCGGCCAGGGTTTTGCCTCTGCTGCCACCATGGGGGAGGCGCTCTGTAGGGAGACCGCATGGAGCAGAGAGGGCAACCATCCCAGCATCGCCAGCGTCCTGGACCACCACCCTCTGACTGCTGCCTCAGGAGACACCCACACGAGGGCAGGAGAGCTGGCGGGATGAGCCCAGCCCATCCCCAAGTCACAGTCATAACGAGGGGTCCTTCAAAGCCACCCAGGAACAGAGGACTGCCCAGCTCGCCATCCCCATGGCAACTGCTTACCTGTCAGCTCCGCTCTGCCCTGTTTACACCTCAGGATGCAGGGCTCACCTGCATCTTCCTGCCTGGCATGGAGCTGGGCCCATAGGACCCCATTCCCCACATCATCATCAGGGATCTCAGAGGCGGTGGGTCATTATGGCCCCAATGCCCTGCCCAAAACTCACCACACCCTTAAGGACACCTGCTCTAGCCCCTGGAGGATCTGCCCTCCATCCACCTACCCTAGGGCTCCTGAGAAATGCAGAGGATCCCTAGGGTGCACCAAATGACATTCAGAGGACTTGGGAGAGAAGGGGGGCACCTGGCTGTGTAATCTTGGAAGACTTCCCGAAGGAGGAGGGAACTTCACTGAGTCTTACAGTAAGAAGGGGACACAGGCAGGTGCAGAGGATTCAAATCGGGCCAGGGATCCAGTGTCAGGGCAGCAGGTGGCTTCTCAGCGGTGGGAAGGGGAGGGGTGGAGGCCAGGTGGGCAGCACAGCCAGCATGTGTGTGTCTGGTGGTCCCGGCCACCGCACAGGTCCAGCTCCTGCCCTCACCTGGGGCCCAGGAGTGATCACCTCCGCTTGCCCCAAAGCCTCCTCCACTTAGCCACCTCCACAGAAGCCCAGTCAGGCCCCTAACGGTCAGTCCCGGAGTCCAGGGCCCTTTCCCTACCCCCACCGACCCCGGGCTGGGAACCCATGCTCACAGCCCTCCTGCCCCACCTCCCAATCCAGTCCTCCTGCAACTTAGTATCCCCAAAATGCAGCTGGGACACCACCCTTCCGAGGGCCCTGCAGCCTGGAAACAAGGCAGTCACCCAGTGGACCATGGCGCACAGGCCCCTGCTCCAGCCAACTCTGCAGCTGACAGGTAAGCAGTTGCTCAGACCCCCTGTGTAGGCTACCCCCTTGGCCCTCGTCCACCACCAGCATCGCTGTCCAGAGGCCAGGAGGCAGCTCTGCCTCCAGACAGCCTCCCTCTAAGCTGGGCACCGTATTGGGTCCCTGGGCTTGCTGCTCCTCACCACAGCACCCCTGGGATCCCGTGCGCCCTTCTGGGTCTTCAGAGGCAGGACCCAATGTGAGACCCCGCCCTCTGGAGAACTTTCCCTGGCCCATCTCAGCCTGGTGCAGGCAGGTACCCAGTTCCCCAGACCAGGCCAGCAAAGGAGCTGAGTCTCCAGGCAGCGCCTGCCACTGGGGCCTCCCAGGACACCAGTGCACCTCAGACAGGCCCAGGTACCCCGAGGCCTCCTACCAGCGGTCCCGAGGGCAAGCTCCTGCTACCCAGGCCTTGCCAGAGCCCCCTCAAACTGACCCGGGGCAGTACTTCCCTCCCCTAGATGGCCTCCGATAGCCCCTAGCCCGGTCTCCAAGGCCTCAGGAGCTGCAGGCTGTCGGGAGCCAGGTTCTGCCTGACCATCATGGGTGGTCGTGATAACCCCGGTGGGGCACAAAGAAGGCGCAGAGGCTGCCCCCACCCTGGGCCCCCAAGGAAAGGCACTGGAAGACACACAATGGGCTGAGTCGGGCTCTTAGGAAGGGGGTGACCTCGAGGCCCGGGCCTGGAAAGTCGCATTATGCCAGAAAGGCGCACTCCGCGCCAGGAAGGCCTGGAAGGCGTTGGTGGACTCGGTGGACCTCAGCGGGTGGGGAAACAGCACGTCCTTGTCCACGTCCTCTGACACCAGCTGGGCTACCATCTGCACGATGTCCTGCGGGCGAGGGTGGGTCAGGGAGCCTTAAGGGGCGGGAAGGGGATAAGGGTGGGGCCCGGGAGCTGCAGGGTAAAGGGCCCAGTTGGACTGAGTCCAGGGAGGCGAGGTGGAGGGGCGG